AAAGAAAGGATACCTCCCTATTCCGCGATTCTCCCATGACCACGACCGTCTGAGTGTTGAGACGGTAGTAAATCTTTGAGGCTCCCGGAGAGTGGCACAGTGACAGCCTCCTAAGTGGGTGAGAAAATGGCCATTTAGACGTGGCAAGAACTAGATTTTGCCACCTAAGTGCTTGTGTAGGAGATCGGTCGGCAGTCAGGATCCATTAGGGTACTTTAGCAGCTCTAAGTCGGTCTCTTTTTATGAGTGTGTGGGCGGGAAACTGTCGACTCAACATCATTTCCAAGTTAAAGGAACATTGTAACTGCAGTTTATCGGGCGGTTTGTTAAAATTGCGCGAGTCCCGACCCAAAGCTTATTCATTATAGATCAGTGCGTATCTACCAGATAGATAGACAGATATGCATTCATTTCTGTGTATATGCTTGCCCGCATATATGAATTTTCATTAGGTTGCGACTCGAACAATTTTAACAAACTAGCCGTCTGTCTCGATCGGAAAATAAAATAAAACCTCAAAAAATGTCGAAAAAACATTTGTCATTATTCCTTCCTTCGTCATCTTTCAAAGTCCTTCGAAACTAATGTATCAACATTGTTCATACCTGCTCGAAAAAGGCTTCATACCTGCTCGAGAAAAGCTTCATACCTGCTCAAAGAGGCTTCATACCTGCTCGAAAGAAGGCTTCATACCTGCTCGAAAAAAGGCTTCATACCTGCAAAAGGCTTCATACCTGCTCGAAAAAAGGCTTCATACCTGCGAAAAAAGGCTTCATACCTCGACGATCGAAAAGGCTGATTTGCTCGAAAAAAGCTCGAGGCTTCATACCTGCTCGATTCATACTGCTCGAGAAAAGGCTTCATACCTGCTCGAGAAAAGGCTTCATACCTGCTCGAGAAAAAATACCTGCACGAGAAAAAGGCTTCATACCTGCACGGAAAAAATGGAAAAAAAATCCCTCCCCCCTCCCCCTCCCCCCAAAAAAAAAACTATTCCCGAGCTCTGAAATGTAACCAAGCAAAATGGAACAATAGAAGTCTCTTTCTACCGGAAATATAAATCCTAAAACAAATGGAATGGAGCGTTGTTTTGTTTTATGAGGCGTTTTACACAGATGGAATTCTGGAACGTCAATGCGAGGAAGAGGAAGCACAAACACCAGCGGGGAGACAGAAGACCGAGTGTAAAATCAGTCACTTGAAATTAATATCATAGAACCAAAAAAGGAGCGAGAGGGAGAGGGAGAAGGAGGGAATGAGAGAGGGAGGGAGGGAGGGAATGAGGGAGAGAGAGGGAGGGAGGGAGAAAGAGAGAGAGAGGAAGGGAGGGAGAGAGGGAGGGAGGGAGGAGAGAAGAGGAGGGAGGAGGGAGAGAGTGTGTGAGAGAGAGAGAGAGAGAGAGAGAGAAAGGTATAGAAAAAAAAAATGTGTCGAACTTCCCCAGTCATTTTTGGACAAGTGGCACGCTGCCTGATTTGTTGCATTGATTCTTTTTCAAGCTTTGGAACCTGAATATTCCCGCCATTTTCGTCCTTTTTTCCGGAGTGACCTCGTTCTGTTCTTAAATCACAATATGTTAAGAAGATGGCTATCGTGTTATTTTCTGGAGGACGTGAGAAAGAAAGCTTTTGTTTTTACAATCTTTGTTTATAAAGGAATTAAACATTTGGTAACCTACACCCTAACCTTACCCTACCTGACAACAAAATAAAAAGATAATGATATAATAATGATAATAACATAATAACAATAATAATAATAATAATAAATAATAATAATAATAATAATAATAATAATATATAATATAAGTAATGATAATAATGATAATAATAACAAATAATATAATAATAATAACAATATAATAATAACAATAATAATAAAAACAATAATGATAATAGTAATAATAATAATAATAATAATGACAATAATAATAGTATAATAATATAATGAATAATAATAATAATAATAAATAATAATAATAATAATAATAATAATAATATATAATAATAATAATATAATAATGATAATAATATAATAATAATAATAATAATAATAATAATAATAATAATAATATAATAATATAATAATAATAATAATAATAGATAATGAATAATGATATATAACAATAATAATAATATAATAAATAATAATAATAATAATAATATAATAATAATAATAAAATAATAATAATAATAATAATAAATAATAATAATAATAATAAGTGACAAAAATAACCATATAGATTTAAAACAGCGAGAAAAAAAGAACATCAACAGAACAGTGTTAACAACCTCCGAAGATCACGAAGCGCTGCGTGCTAATGTAGCGAACTCGGCGATTCAGGTCCGAAGCAGTTCCCGCTACGCTAAAGGCAGCATAATGAACACGCGACGCCGCTAGCAATCAGGCGATGCTAGCGGCTATATCTTCGGGAATGATGCCTCTTTCGCTTAGCGTTACGATAGCTGTCTCTCCTGGAGCGAAACAGCTTCGGAATACAGAGTCGCGCAGCTGGAATTGGGTGTAGGACAGCTGGTTTATGTGTTTGTATGTTGTTTGTATGTTTGTTTATTCGCTGTTTTCGTTTTCGTGTTGTTGTTTTTTTCTGTTTGCGTTTGTTGTTGTTTTGTCTTCGTTTCGTTTTTCTTTTCATTGTTTCCAATTTTTCCTACTTTCCGTATGGTGACGTCAATACTTTCCTTTTTTTCCTTCTTATTTTAAATACTCTTTTTTCCCTCTCTTTCTATATTTGTACTAAAACCATTTTCCATTTCATTAAAACTCTCTCCCGTTTCTATTTTTATAAGAGTGGTACAAACACGTCATTGTCTTTACTCAAAGGGGAAACTATTTTTAGACAAAAAAATATCGAACAACAATTTCATTTTACTGTTCTATTTTTCAAAAAAAAAAAAGAAAAAAAAAATTATTTCATCCCATACGTATCCTTATTGGAAGTTGGATCTGTTATTGTGACTCGCTACTCAAAAAAGCGACTCATCAGCTGTTGACAATTAGAAATGAAAGGGCTGATGACTATGGGTTCCATTTGAGTTGCTGGCTAGCTACATCAAAATCTCTCTCTATATATATGCGTTTGAATCAAGATGTATGGTCATTTGTACATACAGAATATATAGTATATAACCATACAGTGTGTTTGTTTGCATGTGTGTGTGTGTATGTGCGTTTGTGTGTGTGTGTGTGTGCGCGTGCGTGTGTGTGTGTGTGTGTGTGCGCGTGTGTGTGTGTGTGCGTGTGTGTAAGCTCTCTATAAATCAAAATTGAGCAAAATACATACCTATCCATAAATGTATAAGGACCGAACTTGATAAACAGATCATCTGTTTGTTCAGACTGCAAATACTAGTCCGTAAAATTATATATTCCCATCCGAGAACACGTACCTGCTGTCATTGCATTTCAGCTTCACTGTAGATTTTTCAGATTATGAGCGATGGAACGAGGTATCAGATTTTCATATATAATCAGCCATGATATTTCCTGGACGTTTGGCATGAAGAAATATACACAGTCGACTGATGACTAAACTGATTATGATTTCGTTGATGTTAAATATCCTGAAATTCGAGCTTGTTATTCTCTCTCCTAAATTCTGAAAGGCTGAAAGAGGATGACACTGAAAGTAGATATCAGAGACTGAAGACTGCAAGTAGACATTCGAGCCTGGAAGTAGATATTAGAGACTGAAAGTAGTTATCACTGACTAAAAGTAGATATCGAAGCCTGGGAATAGATATCAAACTAAAAAGTATATTAAAAAACTCAAAGTAGATATTAGATACTGAAATTACATATAAGAGACAGAAAGTAGATATCAGAGACTGAAAGAAGATAACATAGACTGCTAGTAGATATCAGGAACTTCAAATAGACATCGGAGACTTCAAATCTATCAGACATAGAATACTGGAAGTAGATATTCGAGCCAGGAGAGAGAGAGACATTAGAGACTAAAAGTAGACACCAGAGACAGAAAAGCT